TAGTTTCTGAGATAAGTATATGGGTCACCTTACGTGGACCACCCTGTACATATATTGTTTCATATTTGTCATCGAGCAATTACATATTTTATAATATTATTACCCTAGGATTATTACCGCGCACGCTCTGGATCGCGCCAGGTGTGAACTTATCAGTTTTGTGAAAAGTAAAAAATGTTCATTTCATAATCCAATATTATTTATTAAAAAATATTTTAAACTTTAAGTTGATATTCACAAACCAATAATTTGTATACATTATTATAGATACATGTTCATAATCGTTAATTTCGGAAAAAAAATCTGCACAATATTTGTTTGTCAGATTGTCAAAACATAGCTACGAAACTGACGTATTTTATTGGTTTTGCAGTTGCACATCGTTATTAAAGCAGGGGTTTGTGCGCAGTGTTCTGGTTCGGAGCAAAATCGAATGAAATATTGATATAATAAGTTTAAGGATGATTCAATTTGGATTTACACATAAAAGTATTAAAAATCAACACGTAAAATTTAAAAAAAATTGGTTTGCGCTTTGAGTTTACTTCATTACAATTATGTAGGTATAAAAGATTATATTATGTAAATGGTCGCCACGGCTTCTTTGGAAATCCGTTTGTTAAAATCTTCGACTACTCTGCAGCACAAATCAGTTTATATCATAGATAACAAAGCCTTGTATGACGGCTATTTCACGTCAGATCTTCTGTTTTAATCCCACAATAGTGTTTTGATTATTCTTGTAGACTCTGCTCTTCAGATACCACTAAAGAAAAAATCTAAGGCGCCTCATCGTTCTGGTATTCATTCGTTGATGGTCTGGACACGTTATTTTGAGTTTCTATGGGTGCAATTGCAAATCTTTTTTTTTAATTTAATTTATTTTTTTCGCGAAAAATGGAAATAAAATTGTTGAATTTTTGCATATGAGCACAAATAGGTTTTTTGCAATATCTTCAAAACAAGACCCAAGCGAATAAAATTGATGTTATTTTTGGAATCAGCGGGCCCAAAATATCCTGGAAAGCGTATACACTCAGGGAAATATCATGTCATGAAAAGCATATGAAATTATATTAATTTAAATAATCGGGTAAATTTGATTCAAATAGAAAAATTTGTAGTTTTATATTCATTTACCAACAGTTTTACAATGTTTTTAAACACATTTAAAGTGTACTCTCTTTAAAATATATATACAAAAAGAAATTATTTATTTCATTGCTTTTCTCAATGTTGTTTCAAAAAGATATGTATTATACAATTGTTATACACCTATTAATTTAATGGGACACACCAATGACGCCAAAACATATTTGAATCCCTTTGAATAATTATCGTTTTCAATGTTTATACAACATTTTTTCTCTCAGTGTACGAAGAACGATATGTATGCATTGTATATTGTATATTTGTATGACTATTATAGTTATCTTATAAGATAATGTTGCAACATTATCAACATTATCGCATGCAATATCACTGTGATGGATATTGTAATTATTAGATACTGTAATTATTAGATGTTTAGAGTTTGTCCCTCTATAAACAATCTATGTTTCTTGGGATCAATAAAGTATTTATTATTATTATTATTATTATGTACACCCAAATCTGGCCCTTGGCTAACAAAAGGTTAAAGATCCCTGATGTAAAAAATAAGGAATTAAATGACGTAAAATTTAAGTTTCTGTTTAAGAAAGAAGTAAAGGAATAAAATAAAATAAATTGATATTGGTAGTATCACTAGTTTTGGGGGCCCCTATGATGTGGAGGCACGGTTTTTTTGCCGGTAAGGTTATATTTGCAGGTTATATTTAAATAATTTAAGTCTTTATTTTTTAAAAACTTTATTGATATCTATATATCAACACGACAAATATAAATATACAAATATATATATATTTACACATATTAACCATGTCTAACATGTATATACACATAATATAAAAACGTTCATAGCAAACATTTTTTTCTTTAAAATAGAAAAATTTTGGAAGGCAAGTTGTGTCAACGATATAATTATCTGAGAAGTTAAATTTTTTTAAATTTTAAAGTATTATTTTGAAAATTGTGATTGGAATCCAATAAGCTACATTTACATTTTTCTGCCCATTATTATATTATAATTTATACAATTATATTTCATTTTAAACTGGTTTGTATATATACTAATAGTATATATATACAACAAGTTTAAAATTTGCTACATCCATAAAATAGTTTAATAATAACACTAGTTTACAAAATAAATTTTTTATTTGCCACAGATTGGCCAATAACTTTAATATTTAGCTTTTGTTTTTGCGGTATTATGGGAAAACCCTGATATGCAAACATTAAAATTGTATATACAGTGTGTGCAATTTAGGACCGCAACACCCCATTATTTAATCGATTAATTTTTTTTTCATTTAAATGGGTCGAAATTTAGAGAAAGAAGGTTAGGCTATTTTTTTTAAAGAATGGATAGCGCACCTATAGCCTTTAAAATACCTACTACTTCATTGACGAGCTTATGGAGTTTTAGTCACGGGCTGAAGTTAACAGTGCCTTTTGGGCATTTTAGTCACATGCTGAAGTTAGCTTTATTATAAATTGGAAAAAAGTTAAGTTAAATTTGTCAAATGTCAAATCCACCAGCCGCCACTGGATAGCATGGTATCCCGGATATTTAGCAGTCAACTCCTATGTAAAATTTTCCGCTGAATCCAAAAATGTCAAAAAACAGTTTTTGATACAGAGTCAATTTTCCATATAATTTGGAATTGACTATATCTCAAAAACTGCCTTACTTTTATAAACTTTGACAGTATTTTCGAATTCAGGGGAAAATTTGGCTATTATATCGGGGATACCATGCTATCCCATGGTATACCATGGTATAATTGAAAAAGCAGCCACTAATAACTGTAGTAATTAGTTATTTTTGACTAATTAATTTTTAGAGATTTTAAAGTTTTTCCCTTTAAAAATTATGGTTTTAAAGAAAAAATAAAAATCGTTTTCTTAGCTAAAATAGCACTCAAAACAACCGCTATCTTACCAACAAAAATGTTACGGGTCTTTACTGCAGTAACCATGGTAATGACTCATGCAAGAACATTTTGTAATTTTTTTGAAGTTTTGTTGTTTTTTGATTTGAAACTGGTATAAATATATGATTTAATTCATTACGTCTCACAGAATTTATTTAAGGAGCAAAAATAAGCGTAAATATAAATTTTGACGCGCGGTTGTTTAAAAATTTTTAAAATTGTCCTATTTTGGATAAAAACGATTTTATTTTCTTAAAACAGGATTTTTAAGGGGAATACATTTATAGATGTGTATATATATATTTTATTTTAATTAGGATTCAATGATCATCGCCTAAAATACAAATATGTACTTTAGGATCAATCAAAATTAACAAAATAAATATACGAATTTTAAAGTTTGCAAGTCAAACAAAAAAAAACAGTTTTTTTTCAAAATATCCTAAAAACAAGAGCTAATTAAGCGCACCTTAATTTGTTGGTCACCATGTCGACCAGTGTAATTTAATCAAGTTCTTTAACGCGATATTCATTTTAAAAGTTTTACCACATATGATATCTCTGCACCAAAGGCACAATATCTTATGGTCTGTATTCTATAACATAAAATAGCATACGTAAAAAAATAAGGAAGTTGTAAAATAATTTTTAATAATAAATATAATTTTCTTTCTGATAAACCTTTTCGAAGAATCTACTTAAATATATTTAGGATAATAAAATCGTTGTTTAGTTAAAAAAAGTACCTGATACTTTTTAATATTATTTAAAAAAGCGTATTTTTTAAACATTTAAATATTTTATCTTCAAGCGGTCTATAAATTAAACTTTATTGCCGTCAACACTCGACAGTCTCAGGTAATTTACAGGGTGGTTTAGGGTAAATCTAAAATACTAAATAATAGAGATGTGACGAACCGTATGTATTCGGTACAAAGTAACGGGTACTGGATGAGGTTCGAAATACCGATTCGTTACTTTAAAATACGTCTCGTTACTCGCATCGTTTCGTTACTTGCGCCACTCACAATTTTGTCCGGTATCTACGTACTCTGCAGCGTTCGTTCGATTCGATGCGATACGTACGGCCATGCGCCAGGCTGAAGCGTACGCTCACAGCACTGTGCGTACGCTGTGCATGATACACTGTGTAATACACAGTGTATCATGCACAGCGTACGCACAGTGCTGTATCATACACAAATCATATCATACACAAATATATCAGCTGATCCATAGACTAGGTGATCTATGCCGCGCGTTGATTTAGGTATTGTTTATTTTAAAGAGTTATTTGCAAAAAGAATGGTTTTTATATGGGTTTTTAGTTTCTTTACTTTTCCTCACAAGGTAGGCGTATTTATGTTTTGTTCTTTATGTTACTGTAAAGTATAAATTTAAATCTTATGTTATCTTATGTATATGTCAAAGTACAGTCAATGAAATAAATCATATTTAAACGTTTAACGCTTATGTGTTAAAAATAATAAATCTTTATAGTGGAGCATAGTACCTATTTAATGTGTAAAAAAAATATTGTATTGTAATTGTTCTACAGGGTGTAAATGTGACAATTTTTGTAATATCATTTGGTAAAATGCTAAGTAAATGTAATCAAAATTTATGTTTTCTTTAGGCAGCGGCATGTATAATAATAATTAAAGTATTATAGTAACGAAAGTAACGAGTAACGAATACTTTATAATGAATAGTCACATTCAAAGTAACGAATACATGCGGGTATTAGTTTTTTCGTTACTTTTACATCTCTACTAAATAATTGTAGCATACTATATTAGCTAAACAGAACATCAGGATTAAAGAGAATTTATAATAATAAATTCTCTTTAATCCTGATGTTCGCACCTTTTAAATACTTTTAATTAGGTAATATTTTTTTTAAGTATAGGCTTAAAAATGTAAGTACCTAATATTTGTACCTTCGTATTTTAGACTCACGCTATATGATATAATTTTGGTTGTATATTATTCTGATTATGTGAGCATTATTTTGAAAAATTATAAATTTTCATATAAAAACAATATACATTTTCAAAAATTTAACAAATAAAGCATATCTATAAAAGTTTTCTTAAACGCTTGTAGGTTTATCTTATAAACATTTATAAAGCAATAATATTGGCAATAACTTTAACCAAATCTTTAGTTATTTACAGTTATTTTGCAGTATTATTTATCTGCCAAATCGTTAAATTTGACTTCTCTTCGTATCGACCTGGTTCTGGTTGGAGTATACGAAGGTTCTGGCATCTTTAAACTTGTGGAAGAATTTCTTTTCATGAATGGAGAATGAACTGGAAACTGTTTGGCCACTAAAGGAACCCAACATTGAGGTTGCAGTTTTCCTAAGGAACCCACTACGAAAAAATAGAATTAGATTTATTATTTAAGTCGTATTATCCTAACATATCAGTTGGTTTGTAGATTTTGACTATGTCATATAATTGATATTAAACACAGAATAGCTTTAAAAACTTAGAATTTCATATGTCTGCGTAATAAAATTTCCCTTCATACAAAGGGTTTCCATTTTAAACCATTTTGTATAATAATTACAAATTACGAAAACACCACAAAATTAAAAGTCACATTTTTTCCATTTCCAACATAGGATACACACCGATGAAAAGTCTGTGTTGGCCTACTACACCTTTTTTGTAATTTACAAAACCACCAGGTCTTGGACTAATGGGTTTATCATACAAAATTATTACAGAGACCAGCATTTTTTTAATATACATATACATAAAAGGGATGCTACTAGTGGGACATCGCCTGAACTTTTTTCGAGTAATTTGAGTTTCTGGGTACATAAAATATTAGAACTTAAAAGGGTAAAACGTTAAACTTACGTTCACCATTACTCATTGAGTTATTCCTTGATTTGTAACCATGGGATCGTACTAGACCAGTAGTTCCTGTATTCACAGCGTCCATGGACATGCTCCTGTTGTGACATTTCGCCCAAAGTTCGTTTCTTTTTCCCCTTTGCCTTTCATCAGTTAGGCCTGACAAGTGTTCATTTAATGCGTACAGTTTTTGGGTAATATCTTTTCCTGGAATAAAACAAAATATAGTTTAGGTCAATATTCAATGATTTAAGGACTTCATTTAAATTTTGTAGGTATTTTTTATTTTCCATATTTAAAATATCGTAATGTAACGACACTTAAACTATATAATTTATTATATAGGTACTTTACAGCCAAAAGTCCTACCACGTGACTTTGATACAAACATATTTAATGTTAATTGTCGTGTTTAAATTCTATTGTTGTTTAATTCACGTCCTTGTGTTACAATATATGTATGTTGTATAAATGTATGTTTATAGTGTCTTTCTTTTTCGATTTTCCGTACAATTTTGTCCGTTTCCGGAAATCTAAATTTGGGAACAACTTGCTTTGGGACGTTAATCAAATTTTGGTTCTTGAAAATGTGACCTGGACTATAGAAAGGTACCTATGGTCGGAAGAATCAATTTTTGTTTTTCGATCGAAATTTATAGAAAATTGAAAGTATTTTTCCCAAGTTTGAAACTTTTACTGGAAATTATCCTTAAAGTTCAACATGAATTATAAAAATCGCGAAAAAAATTGTAAATAGATCAAGAATTGCTTTTTTGATCTTTTATTTTCAATATCCTGAAGAGACATATCGAAAAAAGAATCTGGTACAACGTCATATTCTATGTCACTAACACCTGTACCCCCACCTTTTAAATCCATTCTGCACTTTCACAAACTAAAACAATTTTAAATTAGCTGCATATCAACGAAAAACCACGATCTCGAAAATAGAATGATAAGAAAAGCAGCACGTATTATTATTAACTTTTTCAACGTTCACAAAATTAGCTATTTAGGGGAATAAGGTACAAAAATATGTATTGTAAAAGCACCACTGTATAGTGGAAGTCTAAAGAGAGGTGGAGAGCCAAGGGCAAGACGAAAAAAGATGAGGAGAAGCGCAAATACAAACGCGACGCACGGACACGACTTGTTATCTTTAACAGCTGATTTCTCGAAATCCTAATTTCTAACCATAGGTACCTTTCCGTAGTCCAGGTCACATATAAGTATGGCTCTGATTTTTTAAAATAGTAGTATATTAAAATAATTTGCTGAAAAAAATTAAAAATTAAAAAAAAAAACTGGATCCAGTGACGAAAAACCACAGAAATATATTAGGTTGGAAAGACCAAAAACTCCGCGTTATGCTGAACATAGTGCTGCTCTACAAAAAAATTTCAAAAATGACCCATTAACTGACCAATTATAGGTAAAATCCTATTGCCTATTGGTCTTAATCTTAAAGAAACATCTCAATTTTATTACCTATTAAGGCATCAAGTACAGTTTTGAGCATCGGCCTGTGCCTAAGAACTCTCTCGAGTTTCATCCTTGGCCAGCATAAATAGACACTGTTTTCCTCCGCGGTAATAGTCACCTGGAAAACATCGTCTGACTGTTCATGATTCGCTTCCCATTCTGGAGAATCAACGAAGTGATGAACGCTGATAAAGTGAAGATGAGTGTCGTCGCAAGTAACACGCAATCTAGAAAAAAATGATCGTTTTATTTAATTAAAATCTTAGTATAAGTAAACAAGGCTATTAAGTTACAAGCCACGTAAAATCAGTTTTTCTATTCCTTTTTACGGTCTAATTCGACCCCGATGGAGATATTTTGTTACCCTATTTCTGGAAAGCTATTAATCCAGTTCATGACAAATTCCATATTAATATCCCTGAAAGTAAAGTAGTATTTTTGTACGTGATTTTATAATTTAATAGCCAAATCCACAATTTTATATAGGTACCTTAAGTTGTTTACAGGGTGTACTGAAAATATACAAGTGTCCCTAAACTTCTTGGCATAAATTTAGAAAAAGAAGTCAAAATAAGACGAAAATCTAAATAAATATTTTTTCCAATTACATATGTTTTCAAGATACAGGGTGATAAAGTGTTACTTATCATAACAGTTTTTTTAATATAACTTCTACTATGGTAGACTTGGAAAGGTGACATTTTGAAAACAGTCACTTACTACCAATACACATATTCACACATAATTACAATTATTTGAGTGAACACAGTGTCGTAGAAACGGGGGTTGCTTAAGCTTCTTGTCCAATACAAACTTTGAGGTTAGGTTTTTATACCATTTGATGCAATTTTTCGATTACTCAGTTCGGCTACTAATAAAAAGGTGTACCTCTCAAACTTGTAAAATATAAATAAATAAAATAAACCGTTTCCGAGATATTCGACATTCCAATAATTGTTATAACGCATTAAAGGATGAAAAGGTATGTGATAACATATTTTATTTTTAAATTGAAAATCCCGAGGCTCATGGAATGCCCTTTTTTCCATCAATACCTTTCTACATGAATACTTTCACACGATGTCTAAGACACCAATATTGGTTACTTATCTCATTCTGGCAAAATTCATCTTCCAAACCAGGGTGGAAGAAGAAGGTGATATAGCTCCTATCTCTACAGTACAGAAGCAAGCGTCCAGATAAGTCAGTATTTATTTCGTTGTTCGTTAGGTGACGAGTCAACTAAGAAGCTAAGGTTTTACCAACGAAATCCATATATTCTATAACAACTTAACTTTTAACAATAAATTATAAGATAACGAAAACCCAAGGAGAGTCTTCTACCCTCCTTAACGAAAATTACATATTTTCTTACAGTATTATTATAATATTTTGCAGAACGATTGGAAATACTGCTATTCTGCCAAAATGCACAGTCGCCACAAACGCACAAAAGTTACGTTGAAATGGTTTTATTTGAATTTTAATTAAGCTTAGTGCCCATGGTCTACTTTTTAAAGTTAATCAATACAATTTTAATAAAAATGGAAAAAGTTTGTTGTGCACCTCTTTCTTCCACCCTGTTCCAAACTGTGCAGAAATAATGCGATATGAACCTGATATGGTGTTATGCATGGCGTTATTTTTGGGACATATTTTATATGTAAATATTGCCTTTTAAATAACCAATTTAGAGCCGCTTGTACCAACAAATATTAAAAATATATATATCTTCTACTACTAAGTATTATATCAAAATAAAGACAAAATAACAAAAAATAAAACAAATTCATAAAAAATAACAATTTTAATATACTATTAAAGCTGTTATAACAGTATAAGTATACTTACCTTCCTTTGAGCAATATAGATAGTCTTTCGTCTGCTGGACTAACATCTTCCACAGCATAAATATCACCTTTTTCTAAACTTAAGACTTTGGCTTCTTTAACCAATTCCTTAAAGTGCTTTTTACTAACACGTAGAGGATTAAATACCTACAAAAACCTATTTCAAAAACTTGCATAGTAAATTGTTTAAAGTATCATACTTTCATGTAAAGTTCAAGAAGTTCCAAGGTGAGTGTAGGCGGAAGAAATTTCCAAGTGAGTAAACCAGAATATATGCAATTTAGTAGAAAATTTAAACCATTCCACAATAAAATATCCAAAGCACATACTTCCACTCCTCCCCAAATGGTAAGAAAAAAACTACCAATAGTTAGGAGAGCCCTAAAATAAAATGAATTAAGATCAGTTAAATTTAAACATGGTTTATTTTTAATATTTAATTAAGCTATGTACTAAATCTTTGAATTGAAGTAGCGGTTTTTTATTTTGAAGTACAATGGGGTAGTTAAATTTTTTCTGATATATACTTTTTATGGTTTTATTTAAGGCGTTTTGTAATTTTAAACATTTCTGTGAAATCGGAATTTCAATTGAGTTTACCGTTTTCGAGATATTTACAAAAAAATCTCCTAATTACGTCACTAGGCTATTGACAACGTTGCCAGCTTTTTCTATGGTTGCCAGTGTGTTTAGTTTAAGATTCTTACGATAGATGGCGCCAAGAAGAAGAATTGATTTTTTGACGTTTCTTTTTTTCGGGTTATGTTTTTTTTTAAATTTAGATTATTGAAAACCAATGTTATTGTTATGTTATTTGTAATTGATATTAGATAAGTGATTTATTAATAACGGACTCCAAAGCAGAGGAATCTTGTGGAATGGTTGGTTTCATTGAACATTGGAGCTTTTAAACAAATAAAGTAAGTACCTATAATTATAATCATATTTTGTCGTAAATGCATTTCATTAGTATAATGCCTAGTTCTTTATATTCTTTTAGATATATCTTGGACTAAAATATAAAACAGTAATATGATACCTCGTAATAAGGAAGATACTTAATGAATTTGGTGACCATCTTTCACTCAACTGACAGTGATAGTATTTGTACATAACCTCTTCGGGTATTTTCTGACATAACCGAATGAAATCATTAACAAGACAACTTGACAACAGGGTAATTTTCAACCAATAGAAATCTTAGAATGTTGGTCACATGGCGAGGTTTGTGACGTCTAAAAATTTATATTTTTTGTAAATATCTCGAAAAGGGTAAACTCAATTGAAATTCTGATTTCACAGAAATGTTTAATATTACAAAACGCCTTAAATAAAACCATAAAAAGTATAGGTCAGAAAAAATTTAACTACCCCATTAATACCATTATGTATGTATAAAATATTTCATTCAATTTAAGATCCCCAGTTTTCGACAATCTCTTATAGTCGGTTTTATCAAAGTATACACTGCTATAAAAATCAGATTTGTTAACATGAGTTTGTAGTTTGTTAATTTTATTTTATACAATTTTAACATAATTTTTTGTAAAATACCAGGGTTTGTAATTATTTTAACAAAGGAAAATATTTTACCGAATGTTTTATAAAAGGTAATATGCAATTTTGTAAGCATTTTGTTAATTTCAAAGGTTACAAATTTTTTTGTTAATGTTTAACAAATTATTCCGTTGAAAAAGTACACGTGATTTCAGGCAGCCAATCAAAAAATTTCCCACTGACAATACGCATCAACAAGTTTAACTGACTTCCGCGTCTGCAACTGCCAACACTGGTTTTAAACTGAAATTAGGATATACTGTGAAGTGGGTTAAAGTTATGAAATACATCAGTGTAGTAGTAGTACTGACAGTTATATTGTACCAATTTTTTTTATAATATGGTGATTTCAGAATGGTGTGTCATTTATGTAGGTACTATCGCTAACAAAAAAAACTCATACAGCTATATTGTGGCTGTGTGAATAAAACTTTTCCGTCAATGTCAAGCTGACATCGAGCTTTGTCACATCCATTATGACTTTTTTAACATTTCTAACCAAACAATGCAGACGAACTCTGGCAAGCCATTGAAGCCATTTGGAACGAGATAAAGCAAGACGGCGACTTCCATGCTTTGCCGTTTGCGGGCAGTAATTGACAAAACAGAGGGATGACGAAATATTATTTTTTTTTCAAACTTTAACCTAACATTGTATTTAATTTTAGACCTTTCAAATGTGACGTATCATGTTAAAAGCCATAATTACTCCAACGAAATGATAGAAAATCAGGAACACTAGATTTTTAAGCTGTATGAGTTTTTTTTGTTAGCGATAGTATGTGTTAATTTATTTGTTTATAAATTAAATAATATATAATATAATATAACATAATAACATTTCTTCTTCATTTTAAAGAAAATTTATGCCCATTTGAAAAAATAATGATGAACTCCGCCCCCGCTAAGGGGTTGAAGTTACAGTGATGAAATTAATGTGTAAATATGTCCCCCTGAAAATAAAAGTATACGGGTCCGAAGATTTTTTATTTTTACATAAAAAACCTTTCTGGACTGTTTACCCTTTATATTATATACATTGTATAGTCAGACCATTTAGTGGTAATATCGCAAGAATTGCAGCGTGAGTATTTAAGGGTTAACTAAACAAACTTTTTTAGCGGTAAAACCTAGGCATTGTTGTCAAATTAATTCGGCATAGAACATAAATCTTGCGTATTTCTTACCTGACAATAAGGATGGATTGTTTAAAACTGCCTGGAATCAAGAAAGCTGCAGCGAAAAAGAAATGCGCCGTCTGAAAAAGCGTATGCTGAGCGGGTGTCCATTCTTTGCATTGTGCCCACGTGCTGGTCTCGACAGATGTGCCATTGTACATTTGATAGTCATAGTCGGATTCTGTGCTGTTGCCAATATTTGTGAAAAAATCGCTACTATTCCAAGACGTTATATTATCACCTAAAAAATATTGAAATCAAATAAGGTTAACTGGAACGAAAAATGGTGTAAGGATTTAGAACTATTATTGGCACATATTATAATTTATAAGTCTAACCTGGTTTAAAAAGTAATCTTTTTTTGCTATTTCCGGCCAAAAAAGTTAAATTTTAAAGCAAATTAAAGTGGTAGCCATATAATTTAACTTTTTTCTCCGGAAAAAACAAGATTACATTTTTTAAATCACGTTAGACTGATAAATTATTGTGTAGCCTAATAAGAATTAGTAAAATACTGTTACTTAAAATTATGGATTATAAATACAATATTTTCTTAATATAGGGTCTACGAAATCGTATCCTGTAACAATTGAAGAAATAAAAACAACGAATCATCCCACAAAAGTCTTTCTTTTTTTCGTACTAAACCAGCCACAGCTCTCCGACTCCGCTTCAACGGGCTGTCGCAACAAATTTCTTAGTTTAAGCTAATTTTTAAAAATATTAAGTTTCTGTCTAGGTCATTTCATTTCATTTTTGAAGTGAGCCAAGCAAAAGTGAGATAAGCGAGGCCACTTACGCGCACTCATCTTACCTAAAATAGACCAAAGGAACGGTTGGTAAGCCTATTTTCTCTAAAAGTGTTCAAGTATTAAGTATAATAATAATGGGTATTTATATAATTTATATATACAAATTTTACATTTCTTTGACCATATTTGTTCACTTAAGGACAAACATTTACAACTTTAATTTATTTTAAGAAAAACTATAATTTATTAAATAATATGTTTGTTTTTATTTTTTAACATTTATTCAATAGATAGATTAAATTTACATTATCCATTTTTTTACGTCTAATGTGCAAACTTGGATAGTTTATAAACTAGCTGGATAGTTTATAAACTAGCTAAACTGTCAGCTATTTTAATTGAAAACATATTTTCAACTAAATTAGTGGCTAGTTTACAAAATAACCAAGGATCTTGGCTAATTTACTTGAAATTATTAGGTAAACTAAAATAGCTGGATAGTTTGTATACTATCCAATTCAATTTGGCTAATATGAAAACCAAAATTTCTAGTAACACAAAATGGCCAAGCTTTAGCTAGTTTGTAAACTAACCAACTAATCCTCTCATTTTTGTCGATTTTAGTTAGGTTTTTTTCTCAATGGAGCGGGGGGGGCCCAATGGGGCGGGGTCGGTTGGGTTGTGTTGTTGAGTTTGGGTTGGTTTGGGTTTTTTTCTCTTATTTTTGTCCATTTGACCAATGGGGTGGGGGGGAGCCAATGGGGCGGGGTCGGTAGGGTTGTGTTGTTGAGTTTTCTAACAAGGAAGCGTTAAAATTTTGCCTATGATTCATTTTAAAAACGTTAAAATGCACAAAACAAATCCGGTTAAGCCGGCAAAACGAAAAACAATGCTGTTACCTCCCTTTTTTAATAAATTAGCCAGAGAATTGGTTGGTTAGTTTACAAACTAGCTAAAGCTTGGCTATTTTGTGTTACTAGAAATTTTGGTTTTCATATTAGCCAAACTGAATTGGATAGTATACAAACTATCCAGCTATTTTAGTTTATAAACTATCCAGCTAGTTTATAAACTATCCAAGTTTGCACATTAGCCGTAACATATATATTGGTATATTGTTTTAATTTTCTTCTGTTTTGTTTGATAGAAAGTGTACAACCTCACTTTTTGGCGTGCATCTATCCCCACCACCAAGTAATCAAAATTTCTCATTTGTAAGTGTGATCCGGTGGTAGTGCTTGATCGGTAAGGGGGGAGGTAAAATTCTCACTTTGGCTTACCTGTCATTTTGCAAATGGAACGGTTTCTAAAGTGAGATAAACCAAGTTGAGGTAAGAATATCTAAGAATCGTGGCAAAAGGAAAGCACCCATTAGGAGTTTGCTTATTATTACTTTACACAAAAAAATTAAAAACAGGCCAAATCCACCCCACTCTCCCTTATACATGACGTTTCTAAAAAAATGACTATTTTTAAAGAATAAAAAAAATCTTTTTTTATATTTACTTCTTTTTGCAGTTACATGTAACTAAACATTATGTTAAGTTAAGTATTTTCTTGTGAATTTTTTAACATGTTTAGTTAACAAGAAAGTTATAGATTACATAGTGTTTTTATTAAAAATCTGATTTTAATTCTAAATAGTGCATACAATATTCTATTTTATTATCAAACATAAAAAAATAATATTTGTAGACTTAAAAATGTTTAAATTATAAAAGTTGTATACACAATCTTTAATAATTATTATAATTAAATAAATTAGGTGTAAAACAATAAATTTTATTCCCCTAAAACTTAACACTAACCTAGTTTAAACTTAAACTGTGAATTACGATGTAGGAGTATAAACTATAATTAATTGTAGTTAAAGCTTGCCAAAATTAAAATTTATAACTCGGAGACCTCCTTTCAGAAATGTGCAAAAGTGGTTTTTCATATTCCATTGTGTGGAATTTTTATTACTTTACAGCTTCTTTAGCCACAAATTTTACACAATAATATTAGTTTAATCTTATAAGGGTGTCCAGACAAGACTATTAAATTTAAATATAGTAATTCCTAAATTTTAGAATTGACTCGGTGGCAACGCCGGATTTAGGGGGGGTCTTTGGGGGTCTATAGACCCGGGGCGCAAGCTTACAGGGGGCGCAAAATTTTTGACTGGTAATTTTTGTTTTTTACTACAACCTAAAGGGTTTTCCCCTTTTTTTATTTTTCGTGTATTAATCAGTTTTAATAAAAAAATTATTTAAATTATAACCGTGATTGTTGCCATAGTATTATTATCTATGCATAGTATACGAAATATGTCATGTCACGTATTACGTAGGGCGCCCGACAAGTTGTTGGGCGACAAGAACTTTAGTTTGCAGAAATTGATTATTTCCACCGATGCGATGCGTATGGGCGTAAAGGTTTTTTAATATAAGAATATTTTATTAAACTACGAACAACTATTAATTTAAATTAGTTTAAAACTAAAGTTATATACAGTACCAGTCATATATATATGTATGTATATATACAGTATAGGTATTAGCCTATTGAAAGATGACGTCAATATTTCGATAAACAAATTTGCTTCTCTAAAAGCACGCAAAGTTGAGTTGGCAAAATGTTAATTTTCTTATTTAGGTATTTGTTTTTTATATAGTTTTTGTTTATGTTTTTAGGGTGGCAATATTTTTTCGACATTTTTTTTTATTTCGGAGCTCACATGAAACAATTTAAGTTTAAAGTATTCAAGTTTCAACTAAAAAAAAAAAACGTCGCTCAAAAAAATCAACTAAATTGGAAAAATAGTAGTGGTTACAAGATCAAAATTATTAAAAAAATCAAGAAATGTACATACAATACGTATTTCAAAAATATTGAGCGACCAATAATATTTTGACTTAAAAATGTACCTATTATGTTCCTATACAACCTACAAAAAAAATAGTGAGAAGCCAAAGATTTTGAGAAAAAAGGTTGGTTTAATAGTATATTACACTACAAGGGCAGAAAGTGTGAGATTCCTGCACTGCGCGCCATGATTTCTTTGAATTTATTATATAGGTAGGGGCGGAAAATTTTTATTAGACCCGGGGCGCAAATTTTTATAATCCGGCGCTGCTCGGTGGCCCATTTTGGTCTATGCTACTTGTGGTGTAAAGAAGATAAATTCAAATAATTTTTGTAGAAAAAAGGTAAATTATAATAGTCTTCTCTTACCTAAAAAAGAAACATTTGATTTGGGTATCGTTCGTGGGGTTATTGATCTGCTACTGTTAAATATTAGACTCATGTTTTCTTCCTTCGATTTTAGATCAAACTTTATTCTTGTCGTATTCAGTCGAATCGGCACTACGTTTTCTGTTGAATAGGTTCGTGCTTGGATCACGGATATTTCCATTATTAATTCTAAAAAATAACGAAAACAGAACAAACATTAAATTTGTATAGAAATTTGCTTAATAAACAAATATTGTGAATCAATATCGCTGAGAAAAATAGGTTATTCGGAAGAAAATTGCCTCCATGAAATATCTATAAAAGCGCGGTTATTTTAAAAATAGAATCCTTTTGGTTATATAGGTAGAAATAAGCAATAAAAACGTATAAACCCTTGTAATTATTGCAACAAAAGTCATGGGTCAGTAAGGAAACAGTTTTCAATTAATTTCTGTTTAAAATTAAATTGAAATATAAAATTTTATCACAGATATATTTGGTCTGTTCCAGGTGCATCTTTTACAGGCATAGGACTCAAATCGCTGTTTATTTTACCTACTGGCCCTTAAACATACTTATTGTCACACATTAATTCGGCTTTAATTCAGTAGGCCTAAGTAAAGACGTTCAGAAGCTCATTGTTATTTTAACGGTATGACGTTGATAAATGTATTCTGCTACCTACAAGTTCGCTACCTTTTTATTACAATGACGTCAAGTTGGTTAATTTAACGGAAAACGTTTAATTACAAAATTATGCAAGGAAGACTATGTTATTTTTAAGATAACTATTCCAATTTTGTTATAAAAAACTTTACCTCTGCATAAAAAATCGGTTTATATTAAGGTATTAATATTAAATTAAATAAGTTTTTAAATATTGCATTTATTAAATTTGCGTGTTATAGAAGCTTTCTTTATTAGAGAATAGATATATAGATATATTAAAACAAAAGTTCGTGGGCTTGTATTTTTAATTACCATTTCTTTTTTTGATCCATTTTAATCTAGAAATTAAATCGACAGAATGTTGTTTTTAAAGTACAAATGGTAAGTACCACATATTAATTTGCATGTAAACCATTATAAGTAATATAAAAACTACCATTACTTGTTCAATTGGATTCAAGTTTATTTAATTACGTAATATAATTTTTTTTAGAGTATATGCGTACATTAGATGCACAACTCTGTATTTGCAGGATAAGTGATTTTAATTTTTAAGAAAAACACGAAAAACTGCTCATAAGATCATTTTTGAAAAAAAAATGCAAAAATTGTATAGACGTGCTTTTGCATCATTTCTTATTCAAGAAAGTAAAAAATAATCCTTTAAATTAAGTACTTTAGTAAATAATTGTAATCAAAAGATTTAAAAACATAGTTTTGCATCTTCCTCGTTCAAAGACCAAGTTTTGCAAGTGAAAAGTGCAAATACCAAAAAATAACAATTAATCAGGTGATTGTTATGTCGTCACGTAATGCGTATACTAGCGACGTGATTGGTCTACAGCAAATACCGAGTTTTGCATCCGACAGGAAGAAACAAATACCCTGTTTTGCATCTGCGATAAGTTTATAAATGTATTTTATTCTACAAATATTAACTTATGCATCTGGTTTACTTAGGTATGCTGTGGGCAGTGCAGTTACGTACATAAATAGAATAAAATATATATTTTTTAAAAATTTGCAAAAACCGAGTTTTGCATCTAATGTACTCATATCATACTCTATAAAATTTATATGTACGACCAATTTATAAATTTTCTATTCTTATTGTAAAACTAGTGATACCAAATTATAGTGCGGCAATAGAACGAGTACCTATCACAACATGTCACAATTTATTAATAAAATTAAATAAAGATTTAAAAAAAGATAATTTTATTTTATGTTACTAGGTTGGTACAATTGACGTAAAGCGAGATTATAACCAAAATCTTTAACCATAACGCCGAGATTTTGTTATCTATGGCGAAGATGTAACAATTAAATATTTATTATCAGTCAAAATAAAACGTCCACAAATTTTGTTGTATTATTCGTTGCTTATAAGATCTCAACACAGTTTACATTTAATTATGATTTTATTTACGATTTGTCTATACCTAGGCCCTTAACGGCACACAGTGGTCTGAGAGGTAAATTTACGCGGCAAAAATCCAATTTTTAAAACACTTTAAAAACGCATTTTGATGCATCTTTACTGTTCGTGACAGATTATTACCTAAGATTTTAAACTGCGGAGTAGAATTTACTGCGAATACTCAACGCATATATGCGTTGCGTATACAAATACATTAAAGAATTGTCAAAAATACTCTTACTTACTTTCGGAATCTTGGCTTTTAGTGTAAAAAAGGTGTTTCGTAAATATAATAGTGAAAATTAGTGTCAAAAATGTATAGTACGGATAAAGGTGAGTACAATTACAAATTCAAAATGTATTTTTTGTAAAAAATATAGCGTTTTTAAGCTACAAATTCTCAATTGTGTAATTTCAAATAATAAATGGAATATAAGTAAAAATTTATCATTACTTGCCCAGAACCAGATAGTGCATTCGAAAATATGAACCTCCAGCTCTGACTATAAAATTTCATCTGCCTATAAGTCGACAAAAATTACCGCCAACCTGTTAATATATTTTTCAAATTTGGCAATAATTATTGCATTTAAGAGTGGTAATACAATTTTTTTACATAATATTGTTTTTTTAATATACTTTGTGTATTATACAGTGTGCCCACGGATCGGATTGACAATAGAAAAAAAACTTTTTTATTTTGTTTCGAAAAAAAAACATTTTTTATAAAAATTCTTGCTTGTTTCAATTCCTACACAAACATTTTAAATTAAATGTACAGGGTGGTCAGAAACTAAAAAACCTAAGAAACTAGAAGTGAGTTTTGTGAAGAAATTAATTCTTTATGAAAATATTTGATGGTTAAAAATTTAGACTTTCCTAAAAAAATGAATTATATGTACACGGTGCTCAGAAATTAAAAAAAATATATAAATCAAAATAAGAGAAAAGTACTAAAATATTCGTAACAGAATCGCAAACAATCATTCTTCATAAAAACTTCTGCTTGTTTTTAAAAATGAGATTCTTAACAAAATTTTTTAATTAAATGTACAGGGTGATCAGAAATAAAAAAACAGCAAAGTGCTTCAAGAGGGTAGCACAATTTTTCTATAGGAATCTCATTTTTAAAACAAGCAAGAGTATTTAACACATAATAAAAATAATTACTTTTCCTATTGTCAACCATCACGATATTGCCTAAAAGGTGATTAAAGAAATATGGTAAAATGTAAAAATATATTTTTGATACTTTGGTAATGTTTTTCGGTTATTCATGATAAAAAATTATGCTTGCGCCATGTTGCAATCGCCAACATTGGTGATTGCTTCCTGATACAAACTATAAACATTTATTTATTTAATAAATAAATTATTAAATATAAAACATGAAAAATAAACATAAAAAATACACGAATATTAAAAAAATTCATTTTATATCATTTGGCTAGACATCTTCATCCTCAATACCAAATATTTTTGAAAAAATTTATATCAGAAGTAAATTTAGCACCCTTAAAACATAAAAAAAGAAAAATATTTCAATAATAATTTTTTCCGCGTAAATTTACCTCTCAGACCACTGTGCGGCATCGAAACAAACATATTTTAAAACAATAACATATAAAGGTTCTGGTTTAATCAATGTTATATATTAATATAACATTGTTTAAACAAAAAGACTTACTTAATAGTTATTTATGTCACCAAGACAAAAAGACACTTCTAGCCAAAAAGCATACATTTTATGCATGAATTCTATTTATTAAACGATACTTAAGACGTACAGTTACCTATAATATTAAAAATAAAAAGTGAGGTTAGGTAGATTTGATAGGTATCGAATTTTTTTATTGCTCCAAACCAGTTTTTATCAGCCAATGCTAAGAGATAATGTTGACTGTATCCAAGCAAAATTATCAATCTGTCATTCTCGTCTAGAAGATCCGGCAACACTGGATTAAGAACATGTGATTATCTAGGAATATTTGATTTGATTTATTTGGTGACTGCTACAATTTCTTTTTTAAAGTAAATTATTTTCAAAAACACAATTGTATCAAGTTTATTTTGTGAATTTTGTTATTTTTTTTTTAATAATTGGACAATCCTTCTACCTTTTATACATTTTTAGCTTCCATACCTTTTTTGATATTTTTTTTCTTTGCAGTGGACTTCTTTCGTTTTCACTACTAATTTTTAGATTTTATATATAGAACTGTCACTGCCACTCTTTTGACGACATTTTCGGTTTCAGCGGAAAATTTTACATAGGAATTGACTGTTGTAGAATTATTAGTGGGTGCTTTTTCACTTTAATATTTTTGTCTAATTCATCCTAAAAGAGCAGAACTTATTTTGTACTTAGTCTTTGTTATTTGAATTATGATTATTAAAAAATAATAATAGTATATTATATATCAAGCTTGATAAACGCCATTTTATACACGAATTTAAGCACTCGCTCGCGTGTATAGAAAAGTTTATAAACGAGGTGCATACTATACTTTTTCTAGGACAAATACTTATTATTATCTTAAAATGATTTAAATCAAAAATTTCTATAGAGCGCCATCTATGAAACAATAGGGGAAACTGTCAAATGTCACATTTTTACATTTTATAAACACAATTATAAAGGTTAGGTATAAATCGAAATGTACATATATCTTGAAAATTGACAGTTTTTCACAGTGAAAGAAAAGAAAATGTTTTATGAGGACTTTACAGTACAGTCCGTGCCCGAATTTAAGTTATAGTTTACTGCCGGCAAAATTAAAAGGTCAGTACAATGTTCATATAAACTTTTCAAATATTGGCGTTGAGAAACTATTTAATACTTTTGTATTTTTGTATTGAGATAATAAAATAATTTTCACATTTAGTATTATTTTAGAAGAAAGGCACTTTATTTTAACGATTGTATGACATTTGACAACTGTCAACTAACTTAAAACTAACTTCAGCCCGTGACTAAAAACCTGTTGTCAACTTCAGCCCGTGACTAAAGCGTCATAAAGCCACAACTTGTCAATGTGTATTTAAAAGATCACTTAGTGTCATGGAAACATGTGCGATAAAGGGCGTTTTAAAGGTGGGAGTAGAAAAAATATTTTTTCTACTCCTATTACAGAATTTGACCCTTCTAAAATCACTTTTACCTATGGAATGACATATATTCCGTAAATTGTTACAGAATGAAATATTCTATCATCTGATGACAGAATAAACACTCGTGGCGACATCTCTGTTTTTATATCTAACAAATTTTAGACCGATCCAACCTCACTTTCTTCCAATTAAATTATTTTTCTATGGTATTTTTTGGAAACGTAGAAAAAGTATAGTCTGAAACACGTTTGGAATTGCATATTTCGCTCTCGTGAAACCGTCACGCCTTCGGCTCGTGTGACAAACTCTTCACTCGAGCGGAATATGCTGTACTCAAAACTTGTTACAGAATAACTATTTTACCATTCTATAAAATCATTCATCCCGGCGCATTCGCCATTTTTGAAAATAATTCTAATTAACAGGGTTTTGCTTCGGAAAAAATCTTTGGTGGGATTTTTGGTGGGAATCTCTTTTATATAGGCTCTGGTAATAAAATCTCAAAAGTCCCAAGCAAAATCGTGCCGGCGCACTATGGTTTATGGGCGAAAAAAATGCATTTTTAAAAACTTTTTATTATGGGAATTTTTATGTCGATAATTTGTTAAAAACATCTTAAAGCAATAGATTTTGGTAAAGAAATATTTTTTTCTACTCCTATTATGAAATATGACCGTTCTAATATCACTTTTATCTATGGAATGACATTTATTCCGTAAAGAATGAAATATTCTATCACCTGATGACAGAATATACACTCGTGGCGACATCTCTGTTTTTAATATCTAACAAATTTTAGACCGATCCAACCTCACTTTCTTCCAATTAAATTATTTGTCTATCGTATTTTTTGGAAACGTAGAAAAAGTATATTCTGAAACACGTTTGGAATTGCATATTCCCCTCTCGTGAAACCGTCAAACTCGCCTTCGGCTCGTGTGACAAACTTTTCACTCGAGCGGAATATGCCGTATTCCAAACTTGTTACAGAATATACTATTATATAATTATGTTTTGATTTTATGACTACTCAAAGTAGAATGTTTTTAAAACAGTAAAATTGGCTAAAAATTATGCACACATTTAATTAACTATAACTTTTAATCAAACAAAAAATGTATATTTTTTTAAAATAAGTTTAAAGTACACCTTAATCTGCAAATATAAAAATTTCTATTTGAATAAACATGATATTGTAACGAAACGTCGTCAGACATACGGTTCTTTTAGAAACCAAAAACCGACAACACGGAGCATATCCCGAAAAACCATCAACATATATTTATATATATATATATATATATATATATATATATATATGTATGTAAATGTTTGCATGTCTAAAATCGTTTTTTTCACAATATTGCAAACTAGAGCTAATTGAAAAAATCATTTTTGAAATCAGCTCACCCAAATTACCCTGGAAAAGTTGTTGGAAATCTAGAAAAACAAACAAATTCGTCACAATTTGACTGAGTAAAATAATTTTTATTACCCAATCAAATATGCTTCTATTAATAATTATAATTACACTGGTCCACAAAATAAAAAATGTTGTTTGCCATAGAGTAATAATAATTATTATACTCGAGCACAAAATTTGGTTTGAAAATGGCGAATGCGCCGGGATAATATAATAATAATTATAAACTTATTTATTTATTATGTGATTAAATGAAAATAATTAAATATTATTAAATAATAAATAATATAACCTTACGTTAAGTTATAATCACACAAATAATAAAATTAATTGATATTTTAGGTTGTAGTCAAATTTAATATTTGCAAGGGTCATTTGTGTATTTACATTTTTAACATTTAAAACGTTAAGAAGGTCAAGTAGGCAAACTTTTTATTTATTCTATTCTACTTTTTGAAGATTATTTCCTTTGATAATATAAGCTTACATTTTTCACCATATAATATTAGTTATAACTTACTTTTGTAATAATGTATTACTTTATTTATTACACAAATAGATAATTGTTAAATCTTAATATATAATAAATATGACAACCATAGAAAATAATTGATATTGACTTGTTTTTATTTACATAGACATGTCATTTACACATAATACAATGTGTGTCAAATAACATTAACCTTATAAACTCTTTTATTTTGTATTAAAACAAATGAGATTCTTACCTTAAACGTATTTTGCCATCGATATTGGTTAGGTTTTTGAACGGTCACAGTTTAAAACTATTCGTACGAAACCCCACATAATTGTAGGATTTTGTTTTGACCGAATGTGTTTTTATACACTCGATTATTTACATCTATAAGTGACAATGCGCGGCTAGGTACTGAAAAGGCACGCCCCGCGATCCTGTACGCCAGTTTCGTCCTGAGTTTAACATTGATTTCAGCTCAAGCCCATTTCAGCTGGCCGACTGTGCCATTGTATGCTCGAAATCGATACGATGCCAAAATACTTTTGCTAAATTATATTATGTATCAAGTTTGATAAACGCCATTTTATACACAAATTTAATTTAGGCACGAGCGAGCTTGCGAGCGAGTTCTTAAATTAATGAGTGTATAGAAAAGTTTATATACTTTTTCTACGACAAATACTTATTATTATCTTAAAATGATTTAAATAAAAAATTTGTATAGAGCGCCATCTATGAAACAATAGGGGAATCTGTGTGTCACCGTCAAAGGTCAAATTTTTTTATTTTATAAACCCAGATTATAAAGGTTATAAATCGAAATGTATTTCTTAAAAATTGACAGTTTTTCACAGTGAAAGTAAAACAATGTTTTATGAGCACTTTACAGTGGACTCCGTGTCCGAAATTTACTGCCGGCGAATACAATGTTCATATAAACTTTTCAAATATTGGCGTTGAGAAACTATTTAATACTTTTGTATTTTTGTATTGAGATAATAAAATAATTTTCACATTTAGTATTATTTTAGAAGAAAGGCACTTTATTTTAACGATTGTATGACATTTGACAACTGTCAACTAACTTAAAACTAACTTCAGCCCGTGACTAAAAACCTGTTGCTAACTTCAGCCCGTGACTAAAGCGCCATAAAGCCACAACTTGTTAATGTGTATTTAAAAGATCACTCAGTGTCATGGAAACATGTACGATAAAGGTCGTTTTAAAGGTGGGAGTAGAAAAAAATGTTTACATATGTATATTTACTTCTTTCCTGACTTAACTTAACATACTGTCAATTATAAGTTGGCGAAGCAAAGGAATGTTAATTTTTTTTAAATAAATAATATTACAAAACATACCTACTCAGTTATGTTTTTATTATTATTTATAAATTTAAATTATACAGGGTGTTTCATAATATATGCGCAGGACTTCAGGATGTGATAACTCATCCAAAAAGATGAAAAAAGTCGCTATTAACTTACGCTCTAAAATGCACAATTTTCGAGATACAGGGTTTTTTTCGAATATCTCCGGAACCGTTTATCGTACAAAAAACAGATTTTGTAAGCATTTTCTACTCAAAATAAGCTATGTTTTGTGCCAGAAAAAATTTTTGTTCCCCATAATTGGTGGAGATTTTGAAGGGGTAGCGGGTGTTTTTCTCCTCAACTTCTAGGCCCCTGAAAAATGTACGGTTTTGAGAGGCCTATTCGAACCGCCAATGTTTTCTACACAAAAAAGGTACTCCTGGTCATAAGCTCTAAAGTTGACTGTTTTCGAGAAAAATCAACTTTTATGTTTAAAAACATGGTCAATTTAAAAAAAAAATTTTTTTTACTTATTAAACAAAATTTATTTTAACGTTAGAACAAGTAACAAAACCAAACCATAATTTCAAAATAAAAAATGATTCAAAAGTTGTCTTTGCTAAATTCTCCAAACCGTAAAGGTAACGCATTTCGAACATTTCAGCATTTGTGTAAAAAATCATTTTTTATTATTTTTTTTTAATTTTGCAATTATCGTTTGGTTTTGTTACTTTTTCAGTTTCAGTTTCACTTTTTTCAGGGGCGTTAAAGTTGAGGAGAAAAACACCCGCTACCCCTTCAAAATCTCCACCAATTATGAGTAAAAAAAATTTTTTTTCTGGCACAAAACATAGCTTATTATGAGTAGAAAATGCTTACAAAAGCTGTTTTTTGTACGACAAACGGTTCCAGAGATAATCGAAAAAAACGATTTTTTTTCTAAAATTTTAACACCCTGTATCTTGAAAATTGTGCATTTTAGAGGGTAAGTTAATAGCGACTTTTTTCATCTTTTTGGATGAGCTATCACATCCTAAAGTCCTGCGCATATATTATGAAACACCCTGTATAATATTAGGTATTATTTATATTATAAAAAATACGTTTTAAAAGCACACAATACGACAATTGTTTAATAACTAAATAACATAATTCCTTCGGTCCGCCAACTTATCGTCGACATACAGTAACTAAAATGTACAAAGTAAAATGTACAGAGTGGTCCAAGTGAGGCAACCAAGATATTAATCTTTAAAACTATTGGATTCAGGGTACAAAAATTATACCTTAAACCAAATAGTATATTACACTACAAGGGCCGAAAGTTGAATTTTCGGCTCTGCGCAGGACTACTTTTCTTCATACATCGGTCGAAAGTAATTACTTTCGTCCCTAATAGCAGAGACGAAAGTTTACCTCGGTCGAAAGTAGTATATGTTAAACTTTCGTCCATGCTATTAGAGACGAACAAGGTATAAAGAAAACATTTTTGTATATAATATTTGTTTTTATACAGGGTGTTAGGTTTTCCCTGGAACGATACCAACTTTTTTTGGCATACTGTTAATGTACAGAGTATCCCCTAAAATAGAGCACTTACCAAACTCGAGATAGGGGTGTCATAAGGTTTCTAAAATGGAATTTTATTTGATTTATTTTTATAAAAAAATAACAAATCAATTTTCTACGAATGTATAAAAAATAATAATTTAAGGGTATAAAGAATGAAAATGTCAAAAACTATTAATCATAAACTATCCTTGTCAACTTTAGCTGTCTTTTATATAGTATAAATCATTATTAATAAGTAAAATACATTTTAATAATTATTTGCAAAATATTATGTAGGGGATTTCTCCTTATAATATTTTTTCAATATATAACCTTATACATATTTATTATTAAAAATATAGGACAGAAGATGCTGCAATGTTACTAAATATCTTTCGCATGGAGGCTTTAGGGGCGGGACTACATATCCACTATCCTTTTTACTTTCAACATCACCACATTAAATCACTATTATCACTAATATGCTAAGTATTAAAACAATTTTAATTTGTACAAATAAAATAAATTTTATTTCAAACTTGATATTGTTTATCAACATTTGGTATTTTAATTGTAAATTACAAATACTAATGCATATCAAACTTAAATAAAAAACAGTATCATATTTATTTTGGAAGCAGTTTTACTTACACTTCCGATGAAGCTAAATAATTTTCTACAATTTATTGTTATTTTGAAACATTCTATATATTTTTTAAGGCTCCTAGTTATTGTATTAAGAATATTTAAATTACTGTAAATAAAAAAAGATTCTGTGTTTTTTTTAATATTATACTTTAGGGATAAAGTCTTATATATCCCTGTCAAGGAAAATAAGTTTTATAAATATATTAGCTCTAATGATTGTGTAAAACATAGCAACAAGTAGGTAATAATGATTTTACTATTTAATAGTATTTTATATAGGTATTACTAATTACATGAGTGTTCACAATAAATGAAATGTCATGTGGAAATCGCGTGTAGACTGGGTAATACATGATGTTCTTATAGTTTATTAGTAATTGTAGGTCGTCAACCTAATACCATTGTCTGTAATAAATAATAAATAACTTTATCAGAAACATTTAATCCATGTCAACAATTTCACAGCTATGATATTTTGAACTAGTTTCCAGCCAACTTTCCACATCATTTGAGTTTAAATCGTCTGTTGAGGGTAATTCAGTCAAAGGCGTCATCTCTCCAACGTAACAGGTTTGATTGACGTTCCCATTTTCCTTATTATACTTGTAGTCGTGTTTCGAACGACTGATGTCATTGGAAAACCTCCCTGGTGACACACAATAAACCCCTAAAAATATCACATTACAAAAAATTAAAATATTTATATTTAAAAATTTTAACCCCCATTCGCCTTTTTCCTTATGGGTGACTTATATTCACCACCTGTAGTTAAAGAGGAAGTTATACTTGGTAATCTTATGTCTAAGTGAGATCCTTTCGCAGTAACTATTTTGTTGTTCATGGCGTATAATTTTGTGGTAATATCTCTTGCTATAATCGTCGTTAAAACTGTTGCAACGTAAGTATCTTTTACAAAAAGATATTCCAAGGAAGATCTTTGCCAATAGAGATAACGACAAGTACTTGCAGCTACGATAGAAACCTAAATATTTAAACATAAATAAAACTGTTAAACATTTAAGCTTTACTGTACCTTAAACTTATCATCTATTGTATTTCTACTGGATTCAAACTCTGGGGAATCCATGAATTCACAAGGCAAAATCGGGTGTAAGAATTGATTATCAGAAAGCACGTTTACCTTAAATTACCATAATTATTTTCTCTTTGATTAAATCTTTAATACAATTTATAAACGACGTTTTGCTCCTACCTTTCCAGATAATAAAAGTCCTAATCTATCAGTTCTGGTTAAATTTTGTACGGCATAAGCCTCGCCAGCGTGTAGCGACATTATTTGTGCGAAATCTAGGCTAACCATTTTCTTGAATTGAAGCCTTGTGAGCTAAAAATATTATTGCGATAAAAGTTTAGAAACGTTTTATGATAATCTGAAGGATATGTGAGGATTATGGAAATAGTTTCGAAAATAGAAAGTCAATGTTAGCGTAAACCATGCATTAAACCAATTATATTGTAAGATAAAAACGTTAAAATACACCTAATGAAGTGCGCTAAATTACTTTAGATTTTGATAAAAAAATTGAGATATTATTTTAAGTTATCAATTTGTTACCTTGATTTGATTAATTACAGAAACCCGTCCTCAATTTGTTAAAAACTTTCAGGAGGCACCCAACCTAAGTTTATTTTATTATAATCACGGCAGCAGAACTAACGTTTTTATCTTTAAAGGAAAGATCTAAACGAGTTAAAATAAATAATTATTAATCTTTAAAAAGAAATTGTCGACAGAAAAAAAAAACAAACTACCTACGGCCATTACGAAACATGACATCCACTCGTTTAATGATATAATTCAAGAAATAACTGAACGGGAACATCGAAAATGCAACATAATTAATAGTTATCTTGAATTTTCGATTATTAATTATTTATGGAATAAAAGAAAACTCAGCTGAAAGTAAAGAAGGCCGTCTAAATTCTGAAAAAGCGTCAATTGATGAAGTCCTGAATATTGTACAAACTGATGTATCCATTAAGAAGTTTCACCGCTTAGGCAAATATGTACCAAATAGGGAAAAGCCAAGGCCGATAAGATTAACTTTGGATAATGTTAATTAAGTTCACAAGGTTATACAAAAAGCTAAATCCTTAAAAGACTCTACCTTAAAACATGTTGGTATATCATTTGACAAAACACCAAAGCAAATGAAACATTATTCTTAGCTGCGTAAGGAAATGGAAGAACGAATAAATAATGGAGAAAAAAATTGTATAATATATATTGTATATTATAAAGTATGAAAGAGGTATGCAAAAAATCATAGAAAAAAATGGAAAAATAAATACTCCCAACAATTTACAATCTACTATTCCTTTAAGTATGTATTACCAAAATGGGAAAAGCTTAATATCTAAGGCTGATGAATTCTAGCCTGCTTGCTCTGACTATGACTAATTCCTCTGAGTGAAACATAGCTTTGGTATGTGCTTACATAGTTTTAGTGCAATATCTAAATACTATTAAAACTATTAAAAGGCAATGTTGTTTCTGTTGGGTTGTCTCTGTTTCGTATTTTCCTTAAAATGCTGTGCCAAGTCAAAAGAGTTTAACAAAATTAGTATGAAACGGTACTATACTCTAGAAATGTAAAAACTGATTTATAGGTTTTTGCATGTTTGGAAAACATACACATATAAGAGGAAATCCAAAACAAACTTGCACTTTTTAATTTATTAGTGATTGACCCCCAAAACCTTAACTTTGAATAACACCAATATTCATTTATTTTATAATCTAAGGTAAGATCATGAAAATCAAATAAAAACTAGTCTAGCCATTATCTTAGGTTAATCTCCAAATCAAGAAATTACCAATACCCAATATATCCTACCAATAAATACCATAACTTGTAAAAACTATTAATCAATAGGTTATTACCTTAAAAGGTTCAAATAATGTATGATACGCTTCCTCCAGCTCCGCATCAAATTTAACAGGCCTTAATTGGTATACAATATGAAAAACTTGTGCTAGATTCATTAGCATAAAAACAAAATTCCAAGTAAATACATCAGGGGCACATATTATGTTCCAAGCCCATGTGGCAAAAATTAAAAGTCCTACAATATATTGTTTATAATTTTATAATAATAAATGAAATGATGTTCACCTAATATTAGCCAGCAATGCATAAAAAGAACACCTCTTTTGGAACATGTTGAGGAAAAAGCTAATACAAAACACACATGAGCTAATTGGAATAAAATGTGTTGAGGTTCTTTCCAGTAATCGCACCAAGGCCACCAAGTAACTAAAATAAAACATATATAGCAAATGTATTTTTTTCTTTGTGCTTACTTGAAGGTATTTCGTATGTAATATTTTTTATTCCTGGAGGCCATGAAGCGTTATCGTTGGGCCCCACAACTAAAATATGGGGCCTTTCTACATTGGGCTGCAACCCCGATTCAGCATTCGACGGCATTTTGTAAATTTTCTTTTATGTGTTTACATTTCGTCCCATTTATAGGATGTTCTATCACGAACGTGATCAATCGATATTTATGTATATTTGTAGAGAACTGTACCACCAAAATGTTAAGTAAAGGATATTACTGTAGAGGGCGTTTGCCTGCAAGCTTTTAAAGCTTTCCTATTTAAATATGAAACGCCATCTACAGTAATATCCTTTAAAAAGCTCATGAGCTTTTTATAGTACAATGAAATTTTAATAGAGGGCCCTCAAAAGTAAAGGGAAATAGGATAATAGGAAAGCTTGATTCCGCTTTTTACAGGACAATATTATTCTAATAGAGGAATATTAATTAATTAATTAGACTAGTTTTTATATTGATCGAGGAATTCAAATTAATATATTTTAAGTCACTATTAATAATGAAACCCTGGAACAGTTTTTTTTAAATTTTCATTTTAAAAACAATTTTTTTTACAATGAAAATTTTGTGGACTTTAAATCAAAAAATAGATGACAGAAAAACCGTTAAAGATATTTTAAAGAAATGTTCAGGATTTATTGTTTAATTTTCAAACCGAAAAACGCCTCATAAAGATTACGTATCTTACAAATTGAAATATTAAATTTATTAGGGAACAAATTGTCACAAGGATTAAAGAAGCTTACACTGAAGCTGTTGAAACAACAAAAAAAATATTAATTCAACTCTTTATTCACTTTAAATACAAGCAATGGTTTTTGCACGTTTCCTTAACCATATAAAAATGTCAAATTGTATTGTTTAATTGAAGAACAAATATTATTCAAATGAACAAAATGAGAATATTTTTTCTAATCTGCTAATCTAGTTAATTAAACATTTTTGAAATGTCGGAGTAATATTTCGAAAATGGTTGTACTAACATTTTTAAGATGTTATGGTAAATTTCTTGAAATGTCCAGGTAACCTTTTTAGCATATTCACTTAACACCAATAAAATGTTAAATTAAAATAATTTGCGTTAATGTTGGGTTAATTAAATTATGGAATTAATATAAAGAGAAAGAATTGAACCTTCCCTCTCCAGAGTTTTTGTTTTGAGTGCGTTCCACCTACTTCAAATACCTACCGACAGACAGCTGATTCGACCTATATTGGGGGTCTTATCAGTGTCGGGCAATTTGGTTTAGTGGAAGTTCCACTGTGGAACACACCCAAAACAAACGGCTACCTGAGCTTACATTCTCCTATCGTAAGCCAACTGAGGCGAAATGTAAGAACATCACGTGATCAATACCGTCTAATGACGTGGCGTGGGTGTTCGAAGCGCCCTTCACGGCAATTTTATGAATGCAAAATTAACAAATTTTAAAGTAACATTTACAATTTGTTAAATGAACAAATTTAATGTTTTGGATTTAAAGAGCAACTAAACGTTAATTTAATAGTTTTTTTAGGTAATCCTAAAAATGTCAGTATTTGATTCAACCAATTCCAGCTATTAAATAAAAATAGGATATTTTAATTCAAAAAATTAGTTTATGTTAAATCAATATTTTAACTATCAAATGAACAAATAAACTTTGACCAAATCTGACTATTGCTTTGACACCAAAATATAGATTAATTCATTTTCAAAAATGACATTTAGGCAAACGTTAACTCAACTACATTATTTTTTTCGCTGTGCGCTTACAGCATTTTGGCTAACAAAACCGTTGACATTTTTGAAAAAGAACAGCTGTCTACTTCTTAGATAAAAAGATTAAAGCGTTAGAGACGTTAGATGAAAAGGGAAATGCAGCAACAAAAAATAATGCTCATCAAATACATGCAGCGGCGGTCAAATCTTCATTTGTTGTGTCAATAGCATTAATTTTAAAGTATACTGAAATACAATTTACAATATGTATTAACAATACACTTCAATTGTAGATACTTGACATAGTCAAAGACAAACAGCACATTTAAATTATTCTTGACACATTAAGAAATCATCGGAAAGATGAACGTCACAGCCGACGGTGGAGTAGTGGTCTGTGCTGCTGACTACAAAAGGAATACCACATTGGTATTTGTGTTTGTCTCATTGTAAATTAAAGTTTTTTGGAGTGGAGTAACATGAGATATCTTTTCCAAGTTATTTCATCTATTGCAACTTTTTACAATTTGAAAGGCATCGAAGAAGAAAGTGATATGTAAACATTCAATTTTCATAGTTTCTTTAAGAAACTTTCTTGGACCCATCACTGGTAATATTCATAAGAAAAAATGGGTCCAAGAAAGTTTCTTAAAGAAACTAAGAAAATTGAATGTTTACCTTAAAGTTTAGCCCGGTTGGGTTAATTCTAGATTCCTTTAGGCCATATTAGTATCTGTGATACAATTGCTGTGTGCAGTCCCGGTTGCATAGTATGTACCGATTGCGGCAAAGGCCACGTCGTTTGACGGTGTGGATCACCTGATGTTCTTACATCTCGCCTCTGTTGACTTAACAACTGAGCATATAGGCTCAGGGAGTAATTTGTTTTGATTGTGTTCCACTACACCAAGTTGCCCGACACTGATGAGACCCAATAAAGGTCGAAACAGCTGTCTGTCGGTATTTGAAGGTGGAACGCATTCAAAACAAAAAACTTTGGCGAGGTGTAGGTTTAATTTTTTCAAAGTGATATGTGGTTTAAAATGTGGAATAAGCTACACGAATCACCGACTTCCTTGAGGTTTAAAGAAATAGCGAATTGTTTTTCCTGGTGATTATAAAAGCGATACTGGTATTGCACGACAAGCACTACAGAGCGTTCATTCAGCTTCCATCGCCGAAAACACGGATAGGGTCAACTATTGGTAAAAATGGCTTAAATGGGTTAGCAATGCTAAGCATTCACAGTCAATAGGTTTCTGCAAACAAGAAGCAATAAGTGGAAGCTGCACAAAGAAAAAGCTTTTATATTGTAAATGGGTTAACCATTAAGCCAATGGTGTACTTTATTTGCAATACCTGAATTACAGCTTTGATCAAATGAATGATTGTCTTACTTTTATTTGTGCAAACCTGCTTAAATTAGTTCAAACATAAGAAGTCATTGAATTAAATTATGATTATATTAAATCCGTATTAAAACTGAGTTAGTTAAAACATAAGAAATTATTGAATTAAATTATTATTTAATTGAAGCCACAATGAATCTTAATGAAAAACTATCATTGGCATAAATAAAGTTATGGTTTCTAATAAATGGCTACATTAAATGCAATAAAAGCTCTAATTCCTTTAAATATTTAATTCCATTGATATGAACTTTAAATAAAATGAATTCTGGAAACTGCTTCTGGTAGTCTTGTGTACACAGGTTTTTCGATCCATAAAATGAAATTGCTCTGTTTTCTGTAGAAACTATTAGGAACCCACTAGAAGTGTTGGTGATATTAGGTTAAATGAGATCAACTAATTAATCGGTATTTCTGGTGACGCCGTTTGATGTAAGTTTATGGGTTATCTCTGGTGTAGGTAGTGTTTGGTTGTTTGTTATATTTGCTAATTTCTTGGGGGGTTGTACTTCCTAATCCCGAATTTTCAAGGTAAGTTGTACATGTTTTTAATTGTTTCTCCGCCATGCATTATCCAGTAATTTAATTACTCAATTATATCTAAATGATAACAAAAAGGTAAATGTGTACTCATATAGGTATATACCATGGGCACAGTTTATCTTGGTATTTTTCTTAAATGGACGAAGTTTTTATTAATTTATAAAAAAAACTTATTTAATAATAATAATTTATAAATCAATTCTACATTTAATTAAATATTGTTAATTTTACCTTGATCAGATAAACTTTGAATACAATCATTTCTAAAATTTTCAAGGAAGTACACATTTCCATTAAATATAAAGAGTCATTCACTCTATAACAAGTATTTTTAACTTGATAATATTTTGTTATGGGCTGAGTATAATATTTGTAATAACATCAGTCCCTTACCCTTAATTGCTCCAAACATATTTGATTGATTATTTCCCTCATTATAATATGAACCAATCAAAAGCCTTGAATTTTCGAATAAATTTCGTTTAAATAAGCGATTAAATCACTAGAACTTTTTAACAGCGATTAAATTTTAGCCTCCATATTGGATTTTTATTTACGATTTTATGGTGTTATTTACAAGTTTTAACATTTAAAAAAAAACAATAAAAAATAAGTTATCTAGTTTACGAAATATCAATTATTACTTATTACATACCTTAAATTAATGGAATTTTCTTTAAAAAAATATTTATAAATTTTGACACATACGTCATATTTTATGAATTGTCAAATAGTTTCCTTTAATTCGAGAAATAATCTAGACGTATATTACTCAACCCATAAATTTAATCGTAAGTAATATCATAAGGGCATTTAATTTTACCGAAAAGAATCGAAAAAACACGTTGCTAAGTAATATTTTAACAAAAAGCATGAGTGCTGGTGGCAACAAAAATCCGAGTCGAAGAGGAGGATTTTTGCACCTGCACGAATGCTTTTTGTTAAAAAATATTACTTAGCATTGTGTTTTTTCGATTTTTTTCACAGGAAAAATTAGATGCCCGAATGGTATTTGACAAGACTATTTCATGAGTAACAGTTAACAATTAAAATATAAATTGCAATTTTTGGTGACAACAGCTGTCAAGTTTTGCCGCGGGTAAACTCGAATAAACTGCTGACAGGTGCTGTCACACAGTTTTTTCACCTAGAAACCATTTGTAATTCAAAATTGCGCGTTTGTGATTGGTGGAAATTAAGACGAGGGAAATAGTCTGTCAAACTATGCTCAGTATGTTTTTTATTTGATTTTTCTTTTTGGAAAATAGTTTCATGCAAAATAATTAAAAATAAAACCCCTCGACCGATACGCGGTCTCGTGATTTTATTAAATTATTTTGCATTCAACATTTTCCAACAAAAACCAAACAAAAACCAAACAAAAAACTACTGAGCCTAGTTTAACCGATTAAATTCATAGTTCTCGTGATATAATATATGATTATTTCCCTCATTATAATATGAACCAATCAAAAGCCTTGAATTTTCGAATAAATT